TTTGCCTTTTCTTCTGTTTTTTTTTGTTGTTAGTGTATAGTACTTACAAAAAAATAACTCTCAATAAGTATCGATTTTGTGAAATGATTGTTGATCATTGGAAAAATTATTTTAAAAATGTTTTGGTTTTTAATTCAGTGTTGTAATAACTTGTGAAGATTTTCGTGTGTGTTTGTGAGGAAGATTGGCCCTGAACTAACATTTGTTGCCAGTCTTTCTCTATTCTGTATGTGGGTCGCTGCCACAGCATGCCTTGCTGAGTGGTGTGTAGATCCAAACCTGGGCTCTCAATCTGTGAACCGAGGGCTACTGAAGTGGAGCAAACTTAACCACTATGCCAGCAGGCTGGCTCCTTGTGAAGATTTTTTTTTTAAATGGGAGCACCATTTCCTTCTTTCTTTCTTTCTCTCATTTTTGCACTTTCTTCCGTCAATAGTTTTAATAGTTCACACAGTCAAATTGACATTTGAATCAAGGAGAAAATCAGTGGCCCCTCAAATAAAGAAGTGTGGCAAAATTTCCAGTTACTAAAATGCCAAACTTCTCTGTACTCTTGTTTCTAAAACACAGCATTGAAATATGTCTTCTGATTTCTTAAAGTAAGGAATTAGTTTCTAAAATACCAAATTGCTTTTAAAATCACTTTCTCTTTCTCACTCATACTCCTTTTTTGTCTTTCATATGCCATTTTCTCAGTTATTGGCTTTTGGAACAAGTTTATTCTTTGCTTTTATCAGCATACATAAAATGAGACATTTATATTTTCATATTTAAATAAATTTTTTAAAGTCCTGACTAGTATCCTAATTTATAGTTATGATGTCAAGGTGATGTCTCCCATGTGGGAGATAATTTATAGCCAGATTGTTTGTGAACTTTTCTCCTGTTTATATCACAGCTTTTCTGTTATCGTTACTTCTAAGAAACACTTTTGTTCTTATACAGGAAAATCATAAGCAAAATCTTTATTTAAGCAATCAGTGATGGGGAGTGATTATGGCCTTTGCCCACACTAAGCTAGTGGTAAAACCTAGAGAGAAGGAATTATGGAGATCAATTCCTTTGAAACACTACTTTTGACTTGACAATCTCTTATTCAAGATTCTTTAATATTTTAATTCTGTAGCACTTCTTGGCTTTTATAAAGTAAAATAAAACGTTTGCCTCTGACCCTTTTTACAAACTGTTACCACCTCCTTAATACCTGTGAGGGGTGGAGAATGATGAAGAGTAGTTCCCACCTCGTGCGGGACAGACCTTGAAAGAGCTCACCTACTGCTTCAGGAGAAGTTGCGAGGAAAAATGACCCTCACATCAGTAATATTCTTGATCTTTCCTCTTCAAAAAAAAGAGAGAGAGAAGACCAAAACAGATGTAAAAAGCTAACAAAAGTGAAGTCAAAACCAAAACCAAGGCAGATTTCAAAACACATTGACCCATAAGTGGATATTTATATAAGGATCTTATACATAGGAGTAAAAGTTAGCCATGTTAAAAGCATTTTGGGGATACGTTCATGAGATTTAGTAGTCGTAATTCAGATTATAGGCAGGAAGGTCCTTGATGTCAGTCTTGGAAGTTTTGGCTAAGCATCAAGAGGGAGGAAAAGGCACAAGACTTTTGGAATAATATTAAAGTGATACCGCTGAATGGACTTGGGATAAAAATAATTTATACCTAGTTTAGTAATGAAATGATGCAGACATTATTTTAAGTGAAAAGCAGTGCGATATAATAAAGTTCGTGGAAACATTAAATCCAGCCTAAGAGGATGTACATGCAGAGCAGCCTGGTGACAAATGGAGGTGTAGCTAAATCACTCATTATGGAGGACTGAGGGGGACAGCCACTGATGCAAAGGGACAGCCCTGTGCCTGTTTACTGGGGTTTGTGCACAGCACTAAGTGAGCCTAAATGACTCAGGTGTGCAGAGGAGGAACACAGCCCTGAGCAAAGAAGCTGCTGTGTACCTGGCGAGGTCAGACAAGGAGCAAAGGCACACAGTGTCCACATTCCTGTGTGTGCTCAGGAAATAGGCTTCCCTGGTCTGGTTTGCATGTTTATTGGGCAGGAAATGATCTGTCAGTTTAATTTAGAACTTGTATTTTCAATGGAGCTGACATTGGGTTAAAAAAATCAATGTAAGACTCACAGGATAAAATAATGTTATCTTATTGACAGCTATCAGTAATGGATAATGAGGCCTTAGCTTGAACGTCCTCGAACAAATCAGGACTTGAGGCTGTCCAAAGGTTATAAATGAAATTCTCATTATGTAGACCTGTTAGCTTGAATTCCAGTCCTAGACATTAGTGTAATTAATTTGTGGAAAAGTGGCAATTGAGTGTGAGAATTCAAGTACGTTTTATTAATTTTTTTACAAATAGACTTTTAGAGAAAATACTCTCGCCTTTGCAAAGAGAAGCATTGCACTCATATGTATAACATATGAACACATGTGTATGGGACAGATATTTTTCAGTTTATGGGACATCATTATAAATCTCCTGGGAAGAAAGGAAATACAAATTGCTCAGGCAGCCTAATAAAATTCAGATAGAAATAATTGAGTTTAAGATACTCAAGTTCATCAGTATCAGATCAAAATTAAAACAAATTTTTGTATTCTGTGAAAGTAAGGTCACTGTTAAAAGTTCCTATTTTTTCCTTGCTGTGGTTTAAAATACAAAAGCAAAAGCAATAGCATGACTCCAGAGGGGTTTCCATTAGGTTGGATTTTCTAGAAAATTAGGCTCCTTAGAAAGGGAGAGGAAAAGATAGATTTTTAAAAATTCTCTCTTCTGTAGTTTTATTCATAATGGCCGAAGCTTGTATGCAGCCAAGATGTCCTTGAGTAGGTGAATGGGCCAACAAACTTTAGTACATCATGCAATGAAATATTATTTAGGGGTAAAAAGAAATGAGCTATCAAGCCATGAAAAGACATGGAGGAAACTGAAACGCATGTTGTTTAGTGACAGAAGCCAGTCTGAAGAGGCTACACACCGTACGATACAAAATATTTGACATTCCGAGAAAGACATAACTATGGAGTCAAAAAAAGATCAGTGGTTTCCAGGGACTGGGGCAGGGATGGGAATGAGTCAGAGGGGAGGGATGAATAGATGGAGCATAGGAGATTTTTAGGGCAGTGAATCTATTCTGTATGACACTGTAATGGAGGATACATGACATTGTGTATTTTGCAAAACCTGTAGAATGTACAACACCAAGAGTGAACCCTAATGTTAACTATAGATTTGGGCTGATAACGAAGTGTCACTGTAGGTTTATTGATTGTAAGAAATGTACTACACTAATGAGGATGTTAATAATGGGAGAAACTGTGTGTGTGTGGTAGCGGCGGAGGGCAGAGAGGTTTGTATACGGGAACTCTCGTTCTTCTGTCTAATTTTTCTGTAAACCTAAAATTGCTCTAAAAAAAAGTCTCTTAATTTAAAAAATTAATAAAAATTCGAAATTAGTGTTTGAAGTAGAAACTTTCGACTCACAAGATTAGGGCTACTCTGGGTGAACACATCCCATAAACTATGAGAATCTATCTTAGAAAGCCAGGTAGCTTTCTCCTTATGCATCTGTATTGACTTCCCATTTTCTAAAACATTAATCCAGATACAGTAGGATGAATTATTGATTGCATAGACCTTGGCCCACAAAGAGCATGTCTAGGGCAAGTCTGTCATTTGTAACAACCCTGGCCAGGGAGTTGAGGCTGACCTGAATGCATTCCAGGGCTGAGGTGGTGTTGTTGATCACTTAAGTCAAGGACAAATTTTGTACAAAGTTTTCTAATTGGATGGCTCCCATCGTAGGGATAATTGCCACAGGATGCGCGTAAATGGCAAGTCATCTGTTCCTCCTGGAAGCTCCCCTGAATAATCAAGGCCCTCATTTTGGAAAGATATTCACAGTAACCTTTGGCTACATAATCCACTGGTGGTATTTTCCCAACATTTGCTGGTCTCTTATGCTCACCCCTAAAGTACAAGTCAAGGTGTTTTTGGGAGGGATGCAAGTAAATGTCTGGCTTCCCCACAAGCAGTAAAGTCCTGGGACTACACTAAGTACTTCTGGAAAGAACGTACCATTTCCACTTCTTGGGCCCTCCCAAGTGGGACTTACATTGGTCACAGAGAAGAGGTTGACAGTCCCTCCAATGTGGTCTTCTGGCTGGCTGCTAAGCCTTATGGTTCCCATTCAGTTTTCATAGTGAGCATAGTCCTTGATTTCAGAAAGAATGACTGAGGACAGTCAGTTTGATCTTTCCTGTTTGTCTACACTGGTAGCCAGGTGGCATTTTTCTGCCCCATGGAATGATTTAGACTAGGGGAGAGGGAAGGGAAGACACCAGGAGATATTAATAGGTATTTTGCATGGGAGGTTCAGGAGGTTTTGCATGCTGTTTCTGATGGACTTCTCCGTGAGGAGAATTGTGAGCAAATTCTAGTCAGAGACAACCAACAGGGGATGGAAGACCTCACTGGTCAGCTAAATTTAAGGTTCTTGGGAGATCTACACTGTAGTGTTTCCTTCATGAGGAAGGTTCTAGTGTGAAGCTCCTTCTTTCTCTGAACCTTCCAGGGTTTAAGATGCTCCCTTTCCAGATGTCTAAGTTGTTGCTTTCCCTCCATGGTCACAAAATTGTTATGTCTTCTTCAAGTATCTTTACGTTTTTCCAGTCATCCCTCACTTACTCTTAGAGCTTTCATCTAGAAATGTGAGGTGCAAGAGGGACGGAACATCATTATAAAAATTACAGAGACTTCGAATGTCCCAACCTCTGCCCACTGAGCCATTGTGGAGTACTCATGGGGGTCGTTATCATTATGGTCTACGGTCATTAGACCTTAGTGGTCATTGTTCTTCTGATCTAAGACCATGTCAATCTAATAAAAGAATCCAGGCAGCGGAACCAGAATCAAATTCGAATCCTGTAGAATTCCTTTTGTTTGGGCTATCACCCAGAGAACCATATTAAACCAGATTGGCCTGGGGTCTCTGCCAGGGGAAAGGATGATGCGTCATGCCTAGGAATGGTTAAGGTGGAGTTCTGAGTTTTCAAAATTAGGGCTAGATAAATCCCACCACCTATCTGTCCTGATTATTATCCAGAGGTAATTATTTCTTGTTTTGTGTTACTCCAAAATTACCTGTATCTTTTCATTAGTCATATTAAATAGTTACCATCTCTCTACACGTCTATTTTTCCTACAAAACAGTAATTTCTTTAAGATGGGGAATTCTGAGGTTTTCCCTTGCATTCCTAGGACCTAGGAGGTGCCTGGTACTATCAGCTCTCAAAAAATATTTCTTAACTAGAACTCAATGGGGAAAGATGGACTAGGATAATATTATTCAAACTAACCGTGAATTGTGTAAAATACACAGAATCTGGTTAAAAGGAAATGATTATTGATTAGTTCTGTGTAGAAAAAATAATAGATTTGGAAATAAATATTGCATATTTCTTTAAAAATTCTATAATTGCTTATCACTTCAGCAAAAATTCAATAAAAGTCTAGGAGGTTAATGTATGTTTCTCATGCTTTTTCCCCCATTGCATTAAACTATTTAGCAATGTTTTCACATTTAATAGCTATATATAGAATTATTTGATTGGATTATATTAATTTTTTTGTTCTTAACGATGCTTACCAAATAAGTTCATTAAAGAAAAAACTAAATTTCAAAGTGCCTGCCTGAGATGAATGACAACTTCATGAAACTAAAGAAAAAGCGTCAAATATTAAAAAAAAGTTAGAACAGGTTTCCTCAAGCTTTGTTCAGATATCTTGTGAGTTTGAGCAACAGTGGATAGTACTCTATTACTCTGGTTTAAGTGCTAATGCACTTATGTTTGGAGAAGTTCAGCCAACCAGCTTTATAAAGGCAGCATGAGAAGAGAGGAGTTGCGGTGGATAAGCAAAGAATGGTCCATAAATGGCAGGGGTAATAGGCTTGTTTCTGAGCCCTTGGTGACTCAATGGCATGCTTTACTTGCTAGCTTTCAAGTCTGAGTTACTGCTTTACTGCAGGCCTACAAGGCTCACCTTCCTTTGTTTTCTTCTTGTTTCTTCTGAATGCACTCCCCAGGAAGTGAAAGTTAGAATTTGCCTTGACAGACATTCCAGAGCCTTTGGGTTTTATGGACATAGGGAATGTATTCAGAAGCTTCCTGCTTGGTGATCACATCCTTTGTTCTTCTGTGCATATCTTAAGTGAACTTTGCTCCAGACAAATTATCCTAGGGCAAGGCATTAAAAAGAGGGGATTCCAAGAAAGACACAGAACACAAGAAAAGGAAGTACTCATTCATTTCCATTTAGGTTCCTATTTTTAGCCACACGTTAATCATTTTCATCTTTAATTCATCCTAAGAATGATAGCAATTTACACTTTTATTTTTTTGTGAGTATAAACTTGCTTCTGTCTTTTTCCTAAAGTTTTTAAGCACTAGTCATCTTCAGGAGCAAGAAATTCTTACAGTCAAGGGAGGAAAAACTTGATCAACATGTCTGCTTGAAGTTTTTACTGTCTGAAATTTGAGACAACACTGTAGATGTTATAGATTTATTGAGTTATTCTTGATTACAATATCCCACCTTGTGAAAATATTGGTTTAATTAAGCTAAATTTTACCCTTCCAGTGTCTGATTCAATAGAATATCAATGTCACTTTTTTCTGGGAAATATTCCCTGACTGCAGATACATTATTAGAATAAAGTATCATATATGCCATAGTTGATTGTGCATATGTTGCGTATGTGTCTGGCCTTTGCGTGAGTCAAGGGAGAAAGAAGAAAGTTATATTTGTGCTTGATATACAGGAAACACATTATCCATTGCTTGTTGATTTGGATAGAAGTAAATCCTAGTCTCATCTGAAAACTTAGTAAGGTTGCTTAATTTTAACAGGAACATGAAAGATAAATTGATAACATGATCTCATTCATGAACAATAATTTTTTTTGTAAATAAAGACTGTAGTCCAGGCTTTTCTCTTTCTTGTTTTACAATATTATAGTAGTGTTCTAAGTTACCACTTCTGCTATTTCAATTCTTACTGGACTCCACAGTCAGGCTTATCTTCCAGAAATACTTCAATTATGTTTTTTCTCTGCTCAAAATCCTTGAAAACGTCCCCTTGAGGAAAGGGTAACCTGGACCACTTTGCATCCCTTGCAGTGCCTAGCATGGCACTTTATACGGAATTAATCAACAGCTGCTGATTAACTGGAAGATGTCAGCCTGAAGGTGGTTCTAACGCTGGGCTGCTGAGCTCTGCTTTTAGCCATGTCTTGTTAAATTCATGTATCAATGATGTGTCTAAATACATAGAATGTGTGCTTATCAGATTTGCAAATGACCCAAGGCTGAGATGGATAGCAAATGTATTAGACAACAGAATCAGAATCTGAAACCGTTTTGACAAGCTTCCTTTAACAGGATGAAATTTAGTAGGGATGAAGGTAAAGGCCTGCCTTATAACAAAACAACACCAAAGCAGAGAAAAACCTCTCTGCTGAGCAACTGCACATAGAAGTGAAGAAGATTCTCAGAAAGGATCGGCGAGAGGGTTGCCACACAGGCCAATGGAGTCAGACTTTTGGAGAACAGAAACAAGGAGGTGAAGTTTGCTCCCTTGGCATCGGTCAGACTCTATCTGAAGTCTTGTGTACAATTCTGGGTTCTGCATTTTCAGAGGGATATAGACAAATTGGAAAGTAGTTAGAGAATGTCAGAGGGTCTCAAGTCTATGCTGTGAAATGAATATTTTTCTGTGATAAGAGAAAACTCAGAGGAAATGTGCTAGTGTTTCTGTGTGTGTTTGTGTGAGGAAGATTGGCCCTCAGCTCATGTCTGTTGCCAGTCTTCCTCTTTTTGCTCTAGGAAGATGGTCCCTGAGCTAACTTCCATGCCAGTCTTCCTCCATTTTGTATGTGGGACACCACCACAGCATGGCTTGATGAGCGATGTTCAGGTCTGTGTCTGGGATCCAAACCTGTGAACCCCAGGCTGCCAAAGGGGAGAGTGCGAACTTAACCACGACACCACTCTGCTGGCCCCAAATGGTGGTTTTTTTATCATGAGGAAAAGACTTTTGTCTGGGATTGAATGTTCTCAAAAGTTTGACCAGCATTAGTATCTGAAAGTTATAGGGAAAACAACTTTGGCTAACTCTAAGGGAAAATCTTTTTAATAGCCAGCTCTTAATCAAGATATGTGTTGCCCAGGAAAACACTGACTTGTGCAATTTCTTTTCAGGAGAGGGAAAAATCCAATAGATAAAGGTTTCATGAAAACAACAATGAGATACCACTATACACCTGTTAGAATGACTAAAATCCAGAACACTGACAACACCAAATGCTGCTGAAGATATGGAGCAACATGAACTCCTACTCACTTTTGGTAAGAATGCAAAATGGTACAGCCACTTTGGCAGTTTCTTATGAAACTAAACATACTCTTATCATACCATCCAGAAATCATGTTTCTTGAAATTTAACCAAATGAGTTGAAAACTTATGTCTACACAAAACTTTCACTCAAATGTTTATAGCAGCTTTATTCATAATTGCTGAAACTCAGAAGCAACCAAAATGTCCTTCAGAAGGTGAATGGATAAACAAATTGCAGTACATCCAGACAATGGAGTATTATTCAGCGATAAAAAGAAATGAGTTGGGGCCGGCCCCACGGCCGAGTGGTTAAGTTTGTGCACTCCGCTTTGATGGCTCAGGGTTTTGCCAGTTCGGAGCCTGGGTGTGGACATGGCATTGCTCATCAGGCCATGCTGAGGTGGAGTCCCACAAATCACAACTAGCAGGACCCACAACTAAAAAAATATACAACTATATATTGGGGGGATTTGGGGAGAAAAAAGCAGAAAAAAAAAAAAAGAGATGAATTATCAAGCCATGGAGAGACATAGAGGAACCTGAAGTGCATATTGCTAAGGGAAAGATATCAATCTAAAGGGCTACGTACTGTATGATTCCAACTATATGACATTCTGGAAAAGACAAAACTATGGAGACACTAAAAAGATCAGTGGTTGGCAGGGGTTCAAGGGGAGGGAGGAATGACCAGGTGGAGCACAGGCGATTTTCAGAGCAGTGAGATTATTATTCTGCATGATATTGTAATGGTGGATACATGTGATTATATGTTTGTCAAAACCCGTAGAATGTACAACACCAAGAATGAACCCTCATGTAAACTATGGTCTTTTCCTGATGTGTTAATGTGGGTTCATGGATTGTAAAAAATGTACCACACTAACGTAAAATGTTAATAATAAGGGAAACTGTGTGTGGGAGTTGGGGGTGGAGGGATATACAGGAACTCTCTGTACTTTCTACAAACCTAAAACTGCTCCAAAAAAAAGGCTGTGTGACCCAGAGGCTGGGATCTCCCTGGCTGAGATTTCTCCTCTTACATCTAGTAAAGGTCAGTAGAGATTGCAATGGAGGAAGAGAGCTGACTTCAGCATCAGAGGAGCAGTATCCCGTATCTGGTCCAAAGGACACTTGGGAGATCATGGACAGGAGCTGTGATTCTCTAGGAGAGTTTATAAGGTGGAACGTCAAGCAGCAAGAGACTAAAGACTTCAAGATGGAAAATGAAAGCACAGCAAGTTGTCATGGCTGCAGAACTCTGATGTGGGGCCGGGTGATTTGACATATAAGGTCTGGCTGGCCTTGGGCTTCCTGTCTCTGGAGGAACATTCACAATAAACTGGGGAACTACTTTCTGGGAATGCTACACACACACCACACATGCGTACACAGGTATGTATATACTTATATGTGTGTGTATATATATATATATACCCAAATGAATACACACACATGTATATGTATAGACACATGCACAAATATATATGCATACACGAGCATATACATTTAGAGATATGTTTATAGTAAATACATGTACACACAAATAAATAGGATAATTTTAGACACCGATAAGCACTATTAAGAATACAGAATAGATTTACGTGATTGAAAATGGCATTGACAGGGTGGAGGGAGATTGGCTGTATCCAGAGTGGTCAGGCAAGATCTCTGTGGAGGAGACATTTAAGCTAACACTGAAAGATGCAAAGAAAGCAGCCATAAGAAGAGCTGAAGAAATAACATTGCAGCAAAGGTACATATTTTTATATTTAATCATTAATATTCTATTAGTTTCCTTGGGTCGTGTGTGTGTGTGTTACACGGGTAGTAAAGGAGAAGGGAAATCATTAGAAAGCAAAGGAAGAAAAACCAAGTATAGAAGCAAAGCTATTTCAAGGATTGCACCCGAGAATTTTCCAAAAGCTTTTTAGAAAGACAGGGGACTCTACTATTTACCAAGTACTTTGTCAGGTTAAAAAAGACAAGCAAGAGTTCTGATAACAGTTTGGGACAAAAATTTCTTTGCATTCAAAAAAATTTTGGACGATGAATTACCTAGCACAAACTGTGTGCCTCTCTGAATAGAACATTTATTTGTGAGCATGGCAATTTTTTCTATTAAAAGAGGTGACAGGAAAGGGCGTGGTTAGAGCATTGTGAAACGAGCAAGTGGTGCACACATTGGAGCACATGTCTTCTGCTCCTTATGGTCCTCAGGGAGGCGTGAAGAGATGAAACAAGTTCTGTCATACAGGCTTTGCAAATATACACAGAGAGCTAGAACAACGAAGAGGAAAGAACGAAGTGAGAGAGGGGGGAACAGGGAGAGAGAAGTAGGGGTAATGGAGAGTGTGACATGGAAAAGAATAGGACAGAAGACAAAGAGGAGAGAGAGGAGAAACATACCAAGTTCCTCCTAGTAGGATCTGGGAAAGAGTATTTAAACCATAAACTTATTAAGAGATTTATGAATGGCTCACACACGATGCAGTGGTCATGACACCGCAAAGCTGCGGATGTCTTAAGTCACGTTACCTCTAAGAAATCAAGTGTCATGGTCTCCCCTCTTTCAAGGATTTGCCTCTTCTGCCCATGTTTGTTTTCTGTACAAAGGCGGATGCTCATCAGGCTTGTGATATGCTATCACGTAGTTTTAAAGGTCTATCCATGTTCCTGAATGGTGGCCCTCAAAATGCTTGCCCACTGTAGTTCACATCTCTGAGGAGAGGGTTGCGGTTGAGAGCCGTTGAAAAGCTATTGTCCATGATACACCACGGATGGGGCTTCTGTGTTGCTTTCAGAATTTGACTGCAACTTCTGTCAAACAGTTTCTCTCCATGTCATGCATCTGCAAATTGAAATTCAAGGAAACCCATTCAACACAGTGAAATTAAGTAATAATTGAAGTGGATACTAGCTACTTCAGCACAAAAGGATTTATTTTGATGTATTTTTAGGGCTTGGTACAACACACTGATACAAAAATACTAAATCACCAGAAAAAAAAATCAGTAGCATTGTAAAGGATGTGGGAAGGGAGAAAAGAACAAAGGACTTTTCTCCAATCAAATGCAAATGGAAATGACCTGCAAGATTCTGAAAACAGTCTTTCTCCTGACAATGAACATTTTCATGCAGTGAAATCCATTTTTGAGACTCATTAGCAAGTGCTGTGATCTTGCTTATTTTCTATAGCAGCGTCTGGTTATTTCAAATTGATTAGGAGACCTCTGACGTGGGAGAGCGAATCACTGAACTACCCCAGGTATTTCTGTAATTGGTTATCGTGCTTAATTACAAATATTTCAGCACAACCAATTTATTCTGGAGCAGATTTTCCTTGCCTTTCTGCTGCCTCTCCTGCCAGTGCTGTTTCTGTTTTCAGGGAGAGAAAAGAAAGAGAGAGAGAGAGAAGACAAATTAACCTTCTCCTGTGCACGTTTTGGTTCTAAAAAAAGCAGATTAATGGATTGATGGATTCATTCAAGGTATTCTATCAACAGTAGTAGTCAAAAACGAAAGAAACATGAATGTATTAGTTTGTAGTGGGAGGTCACTCATTGCAAACGGTTACCAATCTTTTCCGGTTCTATTATTTCCATTAACTAGTGCTGGGAGCTGGAAGTTCAGTTCTCACATCTCTCTCATCCTGCCACGGTGCTGGCTGACCTTCATATATTCAGCCCACTTGCTCCTGAGCTCATCAGAAATAAATGGACTAGAATAGAACAGAATATGGCTCCACATCGCGCTATTCATCGTCTGGCAATCCTGAAGACCTGAGCAAGTGGCTAGTTGTGTGGGCTGCAGACGGGGCACACATTACATTCTCCACAGTCTCTCATCCATAGCCTGGGGCAGTCAGAGTCCAATAATGGGAGGCAGGACTCTGGCCAGGGCGCTGGCATTGTGCCTTCTGCTTCAGCCCTTCTGTGAGGATGTGCATGAACTTTGCAGCACCGCAGAGAGACGGCGAGACCCTGAGTTTAACATCTTACGATTAGAGTGAGATTTAAGAAAACGTGGATGTTTTTCCATTCCATCCCTGCTGGAGACTGCACATTACCTATGAAGAAGTGTCTTCTTACTTGTGATATGGCAGATACTTTTGGCACAAAAGCAAAGCATGCGTTACCTGATGCTAACTTTGATTTTTGTCTAGGACTTTTAAATTTAAAGAGTGTTATCATTATTATCTTAAAAATTGAAGTAAACCTTCAAATAAGGTAAACACAATTTTTGCTGTTAAAGAATGAAAGGGGTTAGATTTGTTCTGGTTTAATTCCCCATTAGTAAAATTTACTGGATTTTTGTGGGAATTTTTAAAAAAATTGGTGCTGGGAGGGCTCCTTGAGATCATTTAGGCTAACTTACTTTTCAGATGACAGAGATCAAGAGATGTCACATATGGGGCTGGCCTGGTGGCACTGCGGTTAAGGGCGCACATTACGCTTCGGTGGCCTGGGGTTCTCCGGTTTGGATCCCGGGAGCGAACATGGCACCGCTTTGCAAGCCATGCTGTGGTAGGCGCCCCACGTATAAAGTAGAGGAAGATGGGCACGGATGTGAGCTCAGGGCCAGTCTTCCTCAGCAAAAAGAGGAGGATTGGCAGCAGATGTTAGCTCAGGGCTAATCTTCCTCAAAAAAAAGAGATGTCAAGTGATTTTTTTTGAGGGCAGTTAGTGGCAGAGGTGAAACCAGGATCTAGCTTTACTTCAAGTGAAGGGCCTATCTAATAGAAAAAAAGGTTTTCTATTTTCTCTGTATTCCCAACAACCAGCATCCTCCTTACGTCAGGAATTTCCTATCCTTATAGAGTGATTTCATTCTGCTTTTGTTGTGACAATAGACAGGAATTACTGATAATAACACAGAGTATAACAAATTGTAAAGAGTGACATTTTTCATTTTTCAATATTTATTTTGGAATCTAATGAAACTGTGTTTGATTCTCGAACATTTAAGTATGTAGAGATAGCACTTTTCTTCTGTGGCAAAGATATCCATTTT